AGAAGAAAACTGAAAACTGAATGGTAAGAAGTGTGAGAAATGAAAGTGAAAATGTTTTGAGGTTGAGGTAATTATGACGATTAATGGTGAAATGGTTGAAATGTAGAGTTTTTTTTGGCTCTAACTATTGGGTGTGTGGGATTACAACTGGAAAGGAGGGGCCAATAGCAATGAGAGAAAATGACAGGGGACAACCTTAAATTTCTCGAGTTACAACGTTAATTTGGTTAATCTATTTTCCTTGTGTTTCAATGTCATATATATACTCCAAGTTCTTACTAAACATTAATTCTGGTTTAAAATTTTCGACGTATTTAATATTCAACTAAGTATAATACTTTTGCTCTTGTATAATTTTGTCAATTATTATGTGTGCCTAGGTAATTGTCATAACATAAGACATCATATTGCTTAATCCGTCTTAAATTTCTAGACAATCTGTTCGAACACATAAATAGACATCATACATAACTCAACTGCAAATTTTATAGGAAGCAAAATAACAGACTTTTTTATGGATTCTTGAATAACCGATTATTCAAGATAAGTTAATACATATTAAACTGAAAGAACAATGAGAAATTAAATCAAAAAGTGAATTTATTGATAAGTTGCTCCGGTCTTGAAAGAACTAATGATTAATCACTAGAATGATCTCAAGGATTATGCAAAAATTAACTCATATAATGCAATCAGTCAAAGATGGAGATCAACATCCACACCATCACATATATCTGTCAAGCTTGCTGATTTAGAAGTTCCTCGATTATCCCGAATTCCATCAAGGGCTGCCTGGCGCGGGCGTTCAATATGAAATCCACCACCACCACCACCAGGGTATCTCATGGGTACTCCTGATAAAACTTGAGGAGGTACATGTACAAAGTTATCACCTGGTGCATGGAACCTTGCACCATATGCACTTGTAGGTGCGCCTGGACTAATGAGCGGCCCTAAACGAGAAGCGTGTGGATTGATTATCGGAACAGTAACTCCTAACCGTCGATGATGATCGTAGTGGGTCCGCTTTGCTCTTTGCCGTTCCTTCTTATGTGCATTCTGATGACCACCTAATGCCTGAGAATTTGAGAACTTTCTGTGGCAATGTTGGCATTCAAATCTTTTATTGTCTGTATCATGT